ATTGCCGACCATCATCACCACTGTTTTCATTGAAAAGTGTTTGTTTGTTTGGGGTTTTTTTTGTTTCTTTTGTTTTTGGGTTTGTTTTTTGTTTGTTTGGGGGGGGGTTCCCATTACTCACTTGCTTTTCTCCATCTAGACTTTTCATGTTGGTGTGCTCCCACCATCCATGGAACTGGGTCTGAGAAGGGGGTCAGCCGATCTCACCATGTGTGAAGTGATTAGGAGATTAGGAGAGAGTTGAAACTCTGGTTGGAAAAATGCAAAGAAATGCCTTACTGGCTCAGTTGAGTTGGGGGGGGGTGGTATATATTTCATATGTGCATTATCTAGATAGATGGTAGATAGATACATAGACATGGTTATGTTTTGTGTTTTTTTATTAATTTACTTTAACCAGATATCTCCAGATCATTGTCTTTATTCTCCACTTGACTTTGCAGTGGATAGGTACAATTTAAGATTCCTCATCCTTTTAGGCTTTTAGGCTGCCTGAAGATCACCAGCACTTCCAACCTCTACTACCCTTTAGCACTATGTTGAGCTGTCACTCGCCCTGGGGTTTTTCAGCCGCTTTGGAAGCTGGTTTGGAGACTTGGTCTTCCCGTTTGTGTATCTGCCCTGATGAGAGTTGTTAGTCAACAGAGCCACCGAGTTTAAATCAAAATTCTGTGGGTTTAATGAGAGATGAGCTTAGAAATCTATAGGTTTCTGTGGAGCTCCTCAGTTCTCCTGAGTAAGGAGTTGTGAGAAACACCCAAAGCCTCCACCAAAAATTGCCTCTCCGGGGTTTGAATCTCAAAGAAACCAGTACCAAGAAAGAAAGTATACTCACTGTAGTTTATCATTTGTTCATATGATGGAATCGCTTCATGAAATGAAGCTTTATGGGGGTGTTATTTTGGGGACTGGAGCTATACTGAGGTTTAAAAAAAGAAACTGGAATATGATTAGTAAACACATTGGGCAGAAAAGAGCTGAATTCATATTGACTTAGTTATAGGTCATCGGCTGGCAGTGCAATGGGAGGAAATATTTACTTTACACATACACTTTATGATCTTGGGGGAATTAGAGGAAATTCAATAAGAAAACGGCTAGAAACATTTAAAACCCTTATTTAAAAGACTTAAGCAAATTAGAGTCTTATCAGATTAAAAACCACTACAAATGTAAGAGCATTGTCTTCGGTGAAACTCTGTGGGGTCTGAGGAGATTCTCCGCCAAATCTCAGGGATAAAATGCGTCATTTAAGCACCAGATAATGAGCAGAATGTAAATTAATTTAACCTTCTTTACCAACAGGCTGCTGGTGTAATATGTATAATTTAGTGATAAGATTGCAGGACCTAATATAGCTGGATGTATGAGCCTCAGCTAATGCAGACTTGTCACATGAGGATGTGTTCTGCTCTGAGCAGGTGTATGTATGCTTGGAATGGGGTGAACTGGAATAAAAGGTTAAAGCTAGAAATGCTGCTTTAAAGCTTACTATAAAGAAAATTCCTCCTTTCTGCTAAATTTTTCTTAAAGTGGGATGATACTTCTGGGGAGAAACTGAAGAACAAATGTCATTTGCTTCTTTGGATGGCTCTTGAGCATGTTTAAAATGGGGGAGGAGTTGCAGATAGGGTTTGGCAAAGAGAGCCCGGCAAAGTAGAGACACATAGGTTACAAACATAATTTGCAGTCTGCCTCATCCACTCTGCCCCAGACTGAGTAAGTTTCCCAATCTTGTGAACAAGGACAAGGAGGGAGTTTTCTGAAGATACCTCATACTGATGTTACAAATCATTGACTGTAATGTCAAACAAATACACATTCAGGGATGATAACACTAACTCCACAATAAAGCAATCACCAATGCAGAAACCCAGAAGAGATTAGTTTGTGCTCTCCCCATGACCTAAGTAAGCAAAGGACAAAAGGACTTTCAAAAGTTATTTTGAATGATACGTTTGTATTTCTTTAATTCCTTTGGAAATTAATTTTTTTTTTTTTTTGGAAATAGTGTTGTAAGAGTTGTATGTCCCTAAGGTGTTTCTTTTTTTTTCTTTTTTAAAAAATAAATGAATAAGGCTTTGGTTTTTCTGAGCTGAGTGTTCTCCTAGGCTTTTGCCCTTCGCCCCCATTCTACTGCCTCTGCCTGCTTGGACTTTAAAGATTCAGCAGCCTTGAGTTCTCTAGGAAAAGAAAATGACTTAAAAAAATATCCTTGAAAGTGGTTATTTGGCAACATTCTTAATTGTATGGAAATTCATTAAAGCACATTTTATATATAATTAGCTCAAGGTTGTTGATTCTGCAGGCTTTATGGATTTGAATCTGATTGATAATAAAGTAAACAAGAGAGTCGAATTTAAAGCGGGCTCTCTCTAGGGTTAGGACAAGCTTAATACAGTGTACAAGGAATTTGAAAGATCTTGGATATGTGTCTTAATCAACGCTAAGTAGAATGGATAAGCTTTCAGCATTTTGAAAATGCTGGGTTAGGGTTTCTATTCTATTGTGTATTTTCTGTCTGGGGTCTAATAAGCATTACAGAGAACGTGATCTGAGGCGACTTTTTATTCTTGTATAAATCCAGAGTGAACCGCCAAACAGTTGTTCGTTTAAAGTCAAGGTAATTTTCTTTTGACGGGTCCATTTGCTTCTCGATTTCTAATTTATTAGCCGGCCTTCTCAGGGCTTTGTCTTCTTTGCAATTAAAATAAAGCTTCTTCAGATTAGCGCAGCATTCACTTGACAGGCTGTTTGGAAAATTTAAGATCGGAGAGGTGATGTGTTGCTGTTTTTCAATTTCTTCTGGTTTTTAGTAGCATGCCCCCTTTCCATACAGGGGGGGATAAAAAAGGCATCTCTCGATTGGAAATGGATGTAGTGAGATACAAAAAGGAAGGGGTGCGAGGCATGTTGATCCTTGTACCTTTCAGCTCTGGACCTTTCCGCTCCTTTCTCCCGAGCCTCTTACTCCCAGCCTCATCTCTCCGCCTCCCCGCCTGAACTAAAAGCAAGATCTTCTTCGGCTGGGCCGGAGCAGAATTCCCGGGAGCCGGCCGGTGTAGACTTGGTGGGCACAGTGAGGTATTAGCCCAGCCCCGCACAGCTGATAGGTGCAGACAGGGCTGTCCCTCCGCCGGGGCTCGGGGCCTTCTGATTGGTGCGGAGCCACGTCACTCCCGCTGGGCGAAGGGTCTGGGAGGAGGCGGAGGCGGGGAGCGTTGGGAGGGCCGCGGCAAAGTGACGTCTGGGCACCAGGAAGCCCGCCTCTGGTTTTAAGATGTTAGGCCAACAGGGAAGCTCGGAGCCGCAGAGCTGGTCCGTCGCTCGCCTGGGTGCCGGGAGCTGAGCTGCTGCGAGGCCGCGCTCGAGCTCGACGGCCCGAGGGGGGTGTGCGTGTGCGTGCCACGGAGGGCGCGCCCAGAGGCCCGCGTTGCTGCCGCAGCCGCTGCCGCCGCTGCGGGGGATCTAATATCAGCTACCTGTCCCTGTCACTCTTGACACTTTGCTGTCAGGGCTGCCGCGCGGGGGGCGGGCAGAGCGCGATCGCCGTTAGCTTTCCTTATTGGAGGGGTACGTGGGGGAGGGAGGGAGGGAAGAAAGGGGTCTTTGCCCACTCTTGTTTCGCTTTGGAGCTTGGAAGCCTGCTATCCAAAGACGCTCCGAGCTGCGCCCGCCTACTTACATCCCCATGTCTCCGTTTGCCCGCTGACTTTCCGCCGCCGGACCCTAAGGCTTGAGCCTTCCGAAGGAGACGGGGGCCGCTCGGTTCAAAAAGACTCAGCAGGGATTGTGCTCCCTGGCTTTGCCCGCGGCGGCCACAGCGCGGAAACTCTGCGCGTGTAGTGGAAAGCGGAGCAGGCGGCGGCGGCCACGGGGCTACGGCCGGGCGGCAGCCCAGGACTTGTAGGGCGGCGCGCTCCTTCGTCCATGAACTGCATGAAAGGCCCGCTGCACTTGGAGCACAGAGCAATAGGGACCAAGCTGTTGGCCGCCTCCTCGTCTTCCTCCTGTCACCATCCCCAGCCGCTGGCCATGGCTTCGGTACTGGCTCCCGGTCAGACCCGCTCCCTGGACTCTTCCAAGCACAGGCTGGAGGTGCACACCATCTCTGACACCTCCAGCCCCGAGGCCGCAGGTAAGGCGCCGCGCGGCCCCGCGGACACCGGGGTCCAGCCGCCCCTCGCCGCTGGGCTCTTCCCGCCCGCAAGGAAGTGGACCCCTCCAGGGGGAGGCGTAGTGGGAGTGGTCGTTTAGTTTGCCTCCCGCAGAACTTCCGGAGCCGGGATTCTTTTGGCCCCGAGTTTCTTTCGCCCTACCTCGACCGCCCCGCCGGGGTGGGGCGAACTGCGCGAGCCATTCCCTGCCCTATTCCTATCCTGGCCTCCCTATATTTGTTTTCTGGGTCACAAAAATCCCAGCATCTCCATTCGAAGACGTTCAGAAGCCACCACCCCCGACTCCCCAACCCAGAGTCTGTTCTCTCCGCTTTCCGCTCCCGAAAAGCTCCGCTTGTTAGAAAAGTTATTTCTGAAACGATGCCGCAGAAGAGGCGGTATTTCTAAAGGGTAGAGGAACTTGGGTGGGTCACCGAATCCCAAAGTCTACCTTTACTAGTCTCCTGAAACCGCATGGAGATCTGTGGGGGTCTGAAAAATGCGCGCGTGTAGGTGTCCGGAAAAAATTTGGTGTGTCTGCGCAGAAGAGTATAAATATACTTGAAAGAGGCTGTAAAAATGAATGTGCCTTCACAGTGAGATAAACATGTAAATAAAACGTGCGGCGCTGGGGGAGGGGAGGAGATGGGGCGCTCACACCCACACTCACGTCTGCACGCCCCACAGTCGCAGCGCTCACCGCGGCCCGGAGAGGCCGCTCGCACACTCCTCCCCTGCCTGGCAGCCCATCGCTTCCGCGGCCTCTGCAGCCCGGTCCATTTGGAGTTACACGGGTAGCAGGTGGGACTTGCTGACGGGAACCTCTCTGTGCTTCGTTTTCAGAAAAAGATAAGAGCCAGCAGGGAAAGAATGAGGACGTGGGCCCCGAAGACCCGTCCAAGAAGAAGCGGCAACGGCGCCAGCGCACTCACTTCACCAGCCAGCAGCTGCAGGAACTGGAGGCCACTTTCCAGAGGAACCGCTACCCGGACATGTCCACGCGCGAAGAGATCGCCGTGTGGACCAACCTCACGGAAGCCCGAGTCCGGGTAGGACCCCTCACGGAGCCTGGGAAGGCTAGGGAGGAAGGCATTGTAGAAATGCGGGCCACTTAGAACCGGAGGGAGTGTGGAAGGCAGTCTCCCGAAAGGCACGGTGTGCCTTTGCACAGGCAGAAGGCCTCTCCGCAGCCCAGTCGCGAGGTTACAGCTCCCCCTTACAGACCAGCGGTTGCAGGCCTAGCGCAGGCTCCGCGAGCGGCACCCGCTCACTGCCCCGCTACCCTGAATCCTTCGGAACTGGGCCGCGTGGCATTCCCCTGCATAGGGCATTGTGTTCCCGGCTTGCGGTCGCCGGAAGAGTGCTAATAAAATCCCTCCGAGGCCAGGAGCCGAGAACAGGCTCCAACCTGTGCGCCTTTTACAAGGAAAACCCCCCGGAGACAAGCAAGGCTTGGCCCTCCTGGGGAAACTTTCTCCCCCCAGGCTCGCCCGGCCCTTTCTCTCTACTCGGCTCATCCTCCTTACACAGTCTTTTCGGTTTTCGGCCATTCGGGTTTCCCCCACACCCTATCCCTTAGTTTTGTGATACACGGAAGCATTTTGACACACAACTACTATCCTGCTAGTCCTCTTAGAAAGAAAAAAGAAGAAAGACTTTTTGGTTTGGTTTATTTCTCTTTCTCAGGAGATTGTTATTCACACCCTTCTTCCCAATGATAATAGTTTTATTTTTTAAAGGTGGGAGGGCTTACCTTTGTAGCAAATCTGTACTTTATGGATTGGCAAAAGTGCACTTAAATAAATTACCCGGTAGCAACATCCTGGTTTATGCTGGTCGGTGGAAAACTCCAAATGTGTTAGGATTCTGGAAGCAGAAACACCCATAGCAAGATCCAGAGGCTTTGCTGTTAAAAACAAAAACAAAACAATTCTGGATAGAAAAATAGAGCCTCCAGTTAAAGCAGAGATGAAAGAACAATAAGATGGCAATAATGATGAAAAGAATAAAGACCAAAATGCATTCCCAAAGCAGAGGGAAGGAAGGTACTCTCTGGGTTGCATTTGTGTAGGGCATGAGGCTTTGCTGGTGGATAAGAGCCGGGATGAAGTTGGAGATGGTTTTAGTTTAACTGCACAGAGCTAGAGCTCTGACTCTGGCCGCGTGGTTTTGCGCAAGGTCAGGCTTTGATTCGCTCTCCCGTGCATCAGGGGAACGGGCCTTGCACGCACTCTTCTTGCCTGAGCAAAGTTTACACGGCTAGGGTAGAAATTAAAACTAATTAAAATAAAAACACAATCAGTGGGTTCTCTGGAATCCTTCTGAAAAGACCTCTCCCACCCCTCCAGCTTTCCAGGAGTCTCTCCCAAGTCCCCCGCCTCTTCCACGCTGGGCTGTCGCTCCTTCTGGCTGCCTCCTTCCAGGCCCGCTGTGTGTCCAGCCAAGTGGGAGTGAAGCGTGCTTTTTTATAGCAGTCGGGTGCAAAGAGGAAGGAGGATAAAAAGGAAATCGAGAATGAAAGGGAAAAGGGGGGGAAAAGAGCGGATTAGGCGTCTGGGCCCGGCTGAGATGTGTAATGTGAAACATCACCGATGTCAGCTCTGAAATCTGGGGCCAGGCCTCGCTCCAATACACAAAAGCCGCAGTCTGCGGCGACGGGCGGGTCCGATGTGGATTGAAAGAAGGGTTGCGTCGGGGCCACCGGACGCGGGGTGGGGGCTGACGGGCCAGGCGACGGCTTGCAAAGCCAAGCAAACCTGCTGAGCCCGGCGGGAGCAGTGCTGGCAGCCGGGGCCTATACTGGAGAGGGCGGAGGATGAGTAGGAGAGGAGGAAGGGAGGGGGAGGTTGCAGATTGACCCATTCTGGGTTCCCGGAGATTTACAAGCCAAGCTTTTGGAGTTTAGGAGACTGAAGGGGAGGCGGCCTTTTGCTTTTTAATTCGCTATTTTGCTAGGCAAGGATAGGGGTCGCGGCCTGGCGCCAGTTGTGAGAGCGAGTTCTGTGGCGTGGGGGCCGCAGGGAAGGTCTGAGACTGGAAGGAGGAGCTGTGCAAGAGAGCGCGGGCCTCTGGTGCCCTCTTAGCCACTAGTCCTCATCACTGTGTCTGTGGCTTTGGAATGGAAGCCAGTTTGCAAGGTGGCAGGGTAAGAGTTGGGCAGAAAACCTGCTGCCCCGCGTTTATTTTACTGTAAGTGAGTTCGGATCCAGAGGAGGGCCTGGGTTAGTGAACAAGCCGTCCACAGGCCGCCAGGCGTTGGACTGGGGTTTGTGGCGCAGTTCAGAGCCTGGGCCTCAGCCGGCCAGGCCTCCCTCGCTTTAGACGCGGTTCAGGCAGCTCCCGCCCGCGGGAAGGGGGGGCGGTGGGGGAAATTATGGTGTGTGTGTGTGTGTGTGTGTGTGTGTGTGCGCGCGCGCGCACGCGCCGGACATGGGTGGCCTCTGGTGCTTTCTGTGATCAAGGTTTTACTAATCCGATCTGTGGCATCTGTTTGCTCCTTTGCCGTCAACCCCCAGGTTTGGTTCAAGAATCGCCGGGCCAAATGGAGAAAGCGGGAGCGCAACCAGCAGGCTGAGCTGTGCAAGAATGGCTTTGGGCCGCAGTTCAACGGGCTTATGCAGCCCTATGACGACATGTACCCGGGCTATTCCTACAACAACTGGGCCGCCAAGGGTCTCACGTCAGCCTCCCTGTCCACCAAGAGCTTCCCTTTCTTCAACTCTATGAACGTCAACCCTCTGTCGTCGCAGAGCATGTTCTCCCCGCCCAATTCCATCTCCTCCATGAGCATGTCGTCCAGCATGGTGCCCTCAGCCGTGACCGGCGTCCCGGGCTCCAGCCTCAACAGCCTGAATAACTTGAACAACCTGAGCAGCCCGTCGCTGAATTCCGCGGTGCCGACGCCCGCCTGTCCTTACGCGCCGCCGACTCCTCCGTACGTTTACAGGGACACGTGTAACTCGAGCCTGGCCAGCCTGAGACTGAAAGCGAAGCAGCACTCCAGCTTCGGCTACGCCAGCGTGCAGAACCCGGCGTCCAACCTGAGTGCTTGCCAGTACGCCGTGGACAGGCCAGTGTGAGCCCCGCCCACAGCACCGGGATCCTAGGACCGTGCCGGATGGGGCAATGCTGCCCTTGAAAGACTGGGAATTACGCTAGAAGGTCGTGGGCACTAAAGAAAAGGAGAGAAAGAGAAGATATAAAGAGAAAAGGAAACCACTGAATTAAAGAGAGCTCCTTTGATTTCAAAGGAATTTCCTCAATGTCTGACATCTTTCACTAAAAGTATTTCCAACAGTTGCAAGGACATACACAAATGTTTGACTGGATATGACATTTTAACATTACTATAAGCTTGTTATTTTTTAAGTTTAGCATTGTTAACATTAAAATGACTGAAAGGATGTATATATATCGAAATGTCAAATTAATTTTATAAAAAGCAGTTGTTAGTACTCTCACAACAGTGTTTTTAAAGGTTAGGCTTTAAAATAAAGCATGTTATACAGAAGCGATTAGGATTTTTCGCTTGTGAGCAAAGGAATGTATATACTAAATGCCACACTGTATGTTTCTAACATATTATTATTATAAAAATGTGTGAATATCAGTTTTAGAATAGTTTCTCTGGTGGATGCAATGATGTTTCTGAAACTGCTATGTACAACCTACCCTGTGTATAACATTTCGTACAATATTATTGTTTTACTTTTCAGCAAATATGAAAAAAATGTGTTTTATTTCATGGGAGTAAAATATACTACGTACAAATTGGTCTGGATTCTTTCTGCCCTCCTCTGTCACCTGGCCAGGGTCTCTCAGTCGTTGCTTCCTAAACAAACCAGTTTTCCTCTGCCCGCCTAGTTAAACACACAAGGCAGCAGGCCTTATTTAAATTTGGTAGAAATAAATTATAGTCATTCATCAAAAATGAAAAAGAAAAAAGAAAAGCCACTCCCAGGGGGGAAAAAAGCCTGTAAAGTCTGGTCTTGTCTCCCAGATTTTTCTTTGGCTTAAACCCAGAGGATTCCATTATTGCTAGGAAATAATATAAGAGAGAAAGAAGAAAGGAGAAAGAAATTTAGAAAGTATGCCAGCTTTCAATGACTCTCAAATATACTCCTTTGGCGGGGGTGGGAGGGTGCTTCAACACATTCGGTAAATTGTTCTGGAGAAGCATGTGTGTATGTATACATGTACAGTTTATATACATTCCTCTCAAGAGGAATACATCTATAATAAGTTTACAAGGAAACACCTCCAGTTCAAAATATTTAGGCCTCCACGTTTATCTTTCAGGCTTAAGTAGAGAGATTCTTCATGTTATATTGCATTCTATTTCCAAATCCTTAGGAGACATTAAAAGAAACAAAGACCATTTCTAATAACTACAGCCCCTTAGTTTCCCGAAGAGCCCAGGGGGTGAGAGGTTAGAGTGGAGTTTCCTGAATCTTGTCGAGCAATATGTAGTTGAGGCAAAGGTCACGCTCCCCGTGTTTTGTTTTAAATAATATTGACCCATTAATTCTAAACCTGCTTGTTCCTGAAATTATACAGGATTATAGTTTGCAAACTGCGGGACAATGAAGCAAATCAAGATGAATTACAACCCTGGCCCTCCCTCCCATCCTCTGACATCTAAACGGGGAATGAGGTCCGTGTGAGTGTTTCAAAGAACTTTTAAGCACCCGCTCTTCCTTTGTTGGTGGTTTTCAGCTTTTTTCTTTTTAATGTGAAATTCGATTTCGTAACAAATCGTAGCAAATACGACTTAGTCCGAAGGAATTCATTACCGAGGCGCTGGGGGAGGGGGAGTGAGGGGTAAATCCTGAGGTCCTTTGCTATTCTGGTCACCGTCCTCCCCCCAGTGGGTGAGGATAAACACAACCCTAGGGAACAGGGAGTGAAAAGTAGCCCGGAGTTTTCTGGAGCCGAGAAAACCTGTGTTTTTGCGCTTAGGTTACTTTTATCTAACTGAAACTTTACCTATAAGCTTTTGAGCCTCGGACAGTGAGTCTTTGTTCTGCATAGGACTGCTGCTGCCACTTAAAGAGATCGCAGATAATGTCCCCGGTTTAAGATCAGTGCTCAATGCACATTAACTTTCTTTCTTCTTTCTTTTTTAAGCTCTGCCTCTAACCTACGGAGGGATCACGCGGCAGTGGGGGGCAGATAAAAGCCCTTTGGCCGAGGGTCACCTCCGTCCTTGTTGTTCACTTGAGAGCAGTGGAGAGGAAAACGGTCCCCACGGGCGGACTTTGGCTTCTGGAGCCGCGGAGCCCAGCGGTCCGGGCCTCCCCGAGCTCCGCCCGGTATGGGGGGAGGGGCGACGGGGGAGGGGGAGGAGGGGACTGGGAGAGGGGATTTGGGGATGGGGGCTGGAAACGCTAACGAGACCTGCTGGGAGGACTTGCGTCTCCTGCAGGTCTAAGAGTGACTTGGGAGAGCGGGATAGAGGAGGCGGACCTGGGCCTAGTTTGCTGGCTGAAATAGAACTCTATTTCGAGGAAATCAATCAGTCTGCAAAAAACAAAAATGGAAGTCGAGGTTTGGGAAGAGTTGTCTCATCCCCAACTTGAGTGGTGCGGGCTTGGGGGCGGAGACTCGGGACTGAGGAGAAGCCCTTTTTCCCACCTCAGCTCCTTTCCCTGGACTTCCAGAAAGAAGAATTACCCTCCTCACCCCCCCTTCTTCCCCACACCCATCCCCGCTCGCCCGCCAACCTTTTTCTGCACCTCTTTTTCCCTTCAAGTGAGAAAAGCCTAGTTCCTGAGCCAGTGGAGTCGGTCCTCTCGCCCCTCCCGCTCCCACGCGGGTCCCCCCTTCAGCCACCGCTACTGCCACCACCTCGGTTCCACCCAATCGATTTTTGCTGCATGTCAACACTTATTACCGGTGAGTGTGAGGGTCTTTTTTCTCCTTCTCTAGGTCTCTTAATGATTTCTGAGCTAGTTGTGTATTAAAGCGCTTAAAGGAACCTTTAAGGTAATCTATAGCATGAACACCACCAGCCTCCGCTAGGGACCAAAGATGGCGAGCCGGAGGTCTGGCCCCCAGGAGCCCAGGCCTCGCAGGCCTAAGCCCTCTGCGCGCCCAGAGGCTGGGGCGGGGGTGCTTGGGGCAGGAACCCCACACTGATAGTTCGCGGTCTCGGGGCTTTCCCCTCCCCCCTCCCCCAAACAACCACCCCTCACCTGTTACTCTAACCCTTTCTCCCGCCTGCCCTCGGTTTTTAAACTTTTAAAATTCCTGAGGCCTCAAACTCTTCATTCTCCTAGTAGCGAATTCAGACTGGCGGAGACCTAGGAAAAGGTGTATGTGCCCCACGTTTGTCTCAACTTCCTTCCAGGTCCTCAATCTGAGTTTTACTGCCCGTAGCTTGGTTAGAAATTTAATTTTAAAAACTATGTTGGGCAACCTGAGCCGTGTAGGCGTCTTGATTTGTAGGTAAATCCTCCCCTTCGCCCTCCCGGCCCTGCTCTTTCTTCCACCCCCCACCCCTGTCCCGCGAGGTGCTGAAACCCGGGAGTGCCTTTAGGAGTGTAACAACAACAAAAAATAATGAGAAAAAAAAATGAACAGCATCTTAAAAGTCGCAGTATTCCTCGAAAGCCCCATAAATTAACCCTGTGAAAAGCAGCGAACTCTTTTAAGGAGAGTCTATAAAAACCTGGCGCGTTGTCCAAGGAGGATAACCTCACCCCCACACCCACCCCCACCCCCCCACCCTCACCCCCACCCCCATCCCCACCCCCCCACCCTCACCCCCACCCCCATCCCCCCACCCTCACCCCCACCCCGCGTCGCGAATGTGACCAAACAAAGGTCTGTCCTGCAATCCACATCCTAATCCACGGGCGCCTTCGCCGCCGTCGCCGGGGCTGGCCAGCCTCCCGCCCGCCGCTCTCCGTCGACGCAGGCAACTTTGGGAGTCCCAGGCTAGCCGATGTAAATTTTTTAGGGAGGGGGAGAAAAAAGGGAGAGGGTGTAATCAGACCAGAGGCCTTTATGAATATAGAGTCCCTATTGATTGATTTATAAACCCCCCGGCAAGCAGCAGTTAATCTAAGCACAGGGGGAAAGCAAGAGACACGGCTGATTGAGAGAGGAGAGGTCTTGAAGTAAACGGGAGAAATTTGTTGTAGCAGATTTTCAGAAGGAATTTTTAAAAACTATCCTTCCTCCCCCAGCGTCCCTAATCTGACAATTGCATTTTAACTGAACTTGAGAAAGTGATAATTGAGGAAGAGATTTTTAAAAAATAATAATGTGTTAAGTAGAAACCTGATTTTAGATACATAACTAATTTTCCTTTTCAGGTTTTAGCGGACTAAAGCAGGGACATTTTACTCTCATCTTAAAAGTTTATCATCCTGCTTCCCAATCCCCCCACCCACACCCCCCACGAAGGGAGGCCTTCTCATTGTTAACTTTCTATTTGGAAAGATAGAATCCAGAATTTACTGTGTTTGGGATGCATAACTCCATTCACTTCTGAGTATTTTATGCATTTTATGTAAATGTTGATTTTAGATTTTGTTTGAAGATTAGAGAAGGCCTGGAAAACATAAAATATACCATTAAAGATGTATTTAATTCTAGTTAATTGCCTTTAAAAAATCATTGCTACTTCTGTTGTAACAACGTATGAACAGTTCAGTGGCAATTGTGGAAAACAGGAGATAGTTGAGGCTTAAGTTACCTAGCCAAAAAAAGTGACTAAAAGAACTATCCAAATTCCTCTTTATAAAAACATTAAAAAAAAAATTTAATGGATGTAGGGTAAAGTTGTTTGGTTTTGGAAGGTTGTGTGGGGGGTTGCATTTTTTTTCCTCTCTCTGAAGGGCTAAGAGAAGTTGAGACTCATTGATTTGGTCCTCCCTGAGCCGGGTGTGTGTCTGCACCCTCTGACTTTGATGGATCTTTCCAGACCTAGTTCTCCTGTTCTTCCTGCAAAAATGTTTAAAGTGTCCCCCACCCCACCTTGCCCTGTCCCTTTCTCCTCCCCCCCCCCCCATCTTCTCTCTCTCCTGTTTTCTTTACCCATTCTAAAGTTTTTTGTCCTTGCCTTTTCCCTGTTCTATCAACTTAGAAAATGGTCCGCTGATGCTGGGACCTCATATACTAAGCAAGGCTAAGGCTTGGTTGGGGTGGTTTCCTTAGAGCCCCAGGACTCTCTACCAATGCTTCCTCTGACCAGAAGAAGCAAGGCCTCTCTGTCTTCTGCGACAGTTTGCGGCAGGGCAGCGCGGGACCCCCTGGCACGCGGTCCTGGGCAGGAACCTCTATCCTCGTCCCTCTGGGGAGATGGGACCTAGAACTGTCTCAGCGGAGAAGGCAGTGGGGCAGCGCATGCAATGTGACGTGGATCCCAGACTAGTGGCAACCCACTTCTTGGACTCTTTCCCCGTTCGGCTTGTGTCAACAACCCCCTCAGCTCCGCTTCTCTGGGTTTCGGGGTGGGGCTGCTGAACCCAGTTGAAGTTTGATGGTATCTTTCTCTGTCCTCCGGGATGGACTAGCGGGGCCTTCTCTGTCGTCACTTAACGCGGCTGCTTGCGTTTGGTTACAGACGAGTATATCTGACTGATTTCACCAGGAAGTGTGCGGGCACCGGGTAGTGGGACGGTAGGGGACGCTGATGTGGACAGAGGTAGAGACCCTGCAGGCCATCCCCAGTGCCGAGGAAGGGGCTTTGCCGGCCAGAGCCCAAGGCTACAGATGACAGGTCACTTTGCTAGAAAATAATTATAATATCAAACAAACCAATAAAAAAAAAAAAAGGAAATTAAAACCCTTCTTCTGCGGGCCTCGGGCGATGTTCATTCGCAGTGTTCTACTAACCTTAGCGTCTCCACCCCTCGCTTAAAATCCGTGAAATCTTAGGAGCCACTCTTATCTGATGAGGCAGGGTCTTGTTTGTTTCTTTGACAGAAAAAAAAAAAAAAATCCCGCCTGCGGAATTCTAGGCTGCTGCTCCACGGCATGAAGCTCCCCTCCCCAGCTCGCAACCTCCTTTTCCCCTGCAGCGCCCCCCCCCCCCCCCCCCACCTCTGCCCGGTCCACCTCTGAGCTCCAAGGGATGGCAGTCTGGACATCTGACCAGGACTTTCTGGACCCATGGATTCCGCGGGAGCCACGTGGCCCAACTCTCAGAAGGACCCTAGGTGCCGCCGCTCTACCTGAACTTGCCCCCAAGGGTAGCTTCGCCTTGGGCCTCACTGAAGCGCCTGAACTGTGGATCGGGGACAGCCGTGTCCTACCGCCTTCTATTGACCAGAACAGCTGCTTTATCTTAATGTTCTTTTTTTATTTTTTTTTTTTAATTTTTTTTGGCCCTGCAACAAGGGGAAAAGGGCGATGGCAAGTCGTGCTGCCTCGCATTACCCTGACGATATTTTCAGAGGCACCCGGAGAAGTGGCGGCCCAGAAGGCAACCTACGCACCTCCGGGGATCCCTTTCGTGTCGCCGCACTAGTGTTTGCACGTCCCCTGGGACAACAAAACGGAATCTAATCCTCAACTGCCGCCGCGCACCCACCTCCCTCCGGCGTCCCCAACCGGCAGCCGCAGGCTGGCGAGCGTCGAAGCCCGGACGCTGGGGCAGCACAGACTCGCCCCCGGGGTCCTTCTGGGGCAAAGTGCCCGCCCTGGCGTCCGCGCGCTCGTCGCCCCCGCACGCGCCGCTCCCGGCCCCAGCAGCGGCGTCGTGGGCGGTCGGGGCCCAGCCAGAGCTCAGCCTCTTGGCTGCGCCTCGGGGACGCCTGCTGCGCCTCGGCCGCGGACCCGCTGGTTGCTCTGAAGTCTCAGAGGAGGTCTAAGGAGGCCCAGGCCGGAGCAGCGACCCCTCCCGCACCCCCGCCACTTCTCTCCTCACCCTCTCTTGGGCTTCTGTGCCTTCATTCCCGAGCGGCCATATACCTTGAGTGGGTCATTCCTGCCTGCCTCCCTAGAGCTGCCTTTCGAAGCCCTAGGGTTGAACATTAACCAGCCGGAGCTATAGAGTGGGGTAAAACGTTACATATAAAAATGAATCATCTATCCGATCCTGGGAGCGAGGACCTATAGAGAGCTCCGCGCCTGGAGCTGCCCGGCTACGTCCCCGGCCCAATGCACAGACCCTTCTGGCATCCACTTCCTAGGGACCATTGAGCCGCCCGCGGCTGAGGGTGGGTGGAGGCGGGGAGAATGGGGGTTATCGAACCTGCCGTTCTCCTTGAGTGGCCTGATGTTTAAGCTTTCTAACGCAAGCGAATTTCCTTTCCTTTTACACTTGAGGTACACAGGTCTGGAGCAGCCTTTCCTGTCTTAGCAAAGTTAGTGGGAGTACCTGAGGTTCTAGGAGGGGACTCTGCCCACAGGGTCGAGAACCCAGGCTGGTCGGTCGACTCTGGGAATCGGCCGCCAGCCCTGGCGCTCCCGATGGACCCTGAGAGGCAGGCTGGGCGGGTAGAGAGTGGAGCGGGAGCTGTGCAAGCCCAGGTTGGAGCCTGAGGGGAGGTGCACGGTGGGCGGCGCAAGGGGCGGGGGTGGGGGGTGGGGGGGTCTGGCCGGGAGGCTGAGCCCGTGCGCTTGCCCCGGCCAGCTGTCCTGCTGAAATCCCAGGCTCAGGTCGCACTCCCATCCCCCCTCGCCTGGGCCCTGCCTGTTTCCGATTCTGATTTTTTTTTTTTTTTTAATATAAGTACTGACTAAACCCACTTGCCCAGTCAAATACACAGAATTTATGAAAAGATAACAGCGGGGAAAGAGTTCAAGAGAGCGCACGTCCTCAGTTCTTATGCCCTCACCTGGAATCATTAGCAACCCGTGGTGCTTGGTAAATCCCTGAATAGAAAGGTGATTCCGTTTGTGTATCTCTCGCTCCCTCTGTCTAACCTCTCCATTCCCCTCTC